TAAATATGCACTTTCCTGACAAATATGCAAATGCATAAAGTTCCGAGTCTTGTTCATGATACGTTAAGTATATATTTTAATATGTGTGTATACAATATTTTACATGTACGGCACCCTTCGAGTGGATTATATACAACACATATTATTATAATAACTAGGGTGGCGACGGCGGCGGGATTTCTTCGTCCAGAATTCCAATGTACGTGGAATTCCAAGCGTTTTAATTATGCCAGCTCAAGTCAGAAAAACGACGAGGGTATAAAAACGATTATTATTAGTAGAGCGGCGCTATCGTAACGCTCGCTTTTACATGCATATCATTATTATTATTATTATTATTAATATTATGTATAATCGGGATGTAATTATATTACAATATACGAGGATGGCCGAATCTGAGATTTTGGAATGTCGACAAATTCAAATTTTTACTAGATGTTTTAATACAATTTCCGTTTCGGAGGAGAGACCGAGAAACGCGCTATTGTAAAATATATTTTGTTATCGTTGTGTTATCGTAATAATTATATTTTGTTAATAATGTAATATAAACTGCCATGTATATGTATATAGTATATACACGCATATACGCCGAACCTTTTCGGTATTGGTGAATCGCGTACCATCCATCTTCATCGTCGTTGTCGTCGTCATCGGCAAACAGTATCATATATATATATATATATATAAATATCATAATTTATTAAAGTATAATAATATTATGGATAAATTGTTCTACAGAAATTCTTGAGCTTTTAAAACTTTATCCGATAATATTTAATAATGGTAGTGGAATATTGGTGGAATTTTTTTTCGGGAGGGGTTATAATTCATTTTTGTCGAATTTTATCTTAAAGTGATTTATTAATGATAACGTTGTTATAATTTAACAATTTTTGGGGGGGTTACAACCCCCCCCCCTTGGATACTCCACTGGTGACGACTGTAGTGAAGCCGGTGATGCCGCGGTGGTCGTGTGTAACAGAGTATTATTATTTTACATTGGATAAAAACGACCTTTTGACGATCGAGGTGTATACATAAATGACGTTCAAATTAATCGGGATACGTAAAGTTATGGTCGTGCCCAGGAGGTGGGGAAAGAGCTGAGACCCCCAGAGCCCCGAGACACATAGGACATAGCACACACTAACTATAGTAACTGTAGGTATACCAAATCTCCATTTTTTTTTAAATAAATTATAATTTAATTACGTATAGGTAATTAAATAAATTTAAAAGATGTAAGTGAAAATAATAAAATCTGTTATCTTTTGTAAAAAGCTGTGTCTCTATAAATTGAGAGAATAAGAAAACATTTTTGTGTAAGTATTTTGAAACTTATGTATAAAATTTAAAAAAAGTACTAAATAAATATAAATGTGTGGCATAGATTCAAATGAATACACCCTCAAAAATTAATCATCACTTTGGATCTGACCTTGCGTAAAGTATTTAATACTATTTTGATTTCTAAAGATTTTATATTCTGTAATGAACGCCACGTACTTTAGGATGATCCGGGCTTGCCAAGTTTGTCGTCGAAGGATTTTTCTTCTACCTGACATCCACTAAAACTTTAGCTACCCTTGTTTATACTTTATGTACACTCGCATTTGAAGTTCATAGTTAAAAGTTTAAAATAATTGGCACAATAAATTTCAGGTAGCCAGCTCTGCAGACATCAAGTTAATTATTAGTCGCTTTTTGTTTTACGTTTCAATATAATATAGAGTAGGTATAGAGAGTGTAATGCATTCAAATTATAATACACGTGCAATATATTCAATTTAGTAATAATGTTATTGTTTTCATTAACATTCGTTCGTTGCATAGTTGTATCAATGGGAAAATCTTGATATATATTTAATATTTAGGTAGAAATATCTTAAATGTTATATACTATACAACACGTAAATACAAAATGTTCGTTACTTGACGGAAGACATTCGAACCTTTATTTCTAAATCCTACTTTGGTAATATTTTTATATTATACGTATAATGATATTATAATATTATAATATACCTACGTATAATATATTAATCTCCGGATTATAGTGAAACTGTTTTCAAACGTAATTATAAGCTGTTTATAATATTAATCGAATGGCGTTTGTAAATAAACCCCCTCCGCGTAGCTTTTGCGTATAATAACACGGCTTATATATAGAGCCGAAGCTGTTCTCTCATAATATTATATTACTATATATATAAAATCGGTCGTGTCACGATAATCGTAAAATTACGCATGTTATCCGACTTGACACATTTTTTTATCGCTCAATAAATACCGCCTTCGATTTCATTCTCTCTCTCTCTTTCTCTCTTTCGATTTTTATATGTATACATCACATATTATATTTCTCTCCCGGGTGCATATGCGGATGATTAACGGCTATATAAACGCGTTCATATATAATATTATAAAGGTATATTATATTATAATAATATGCGCTGTTCTACTTTATAGTTTAAAAAACTGGTCGTGAAAAATTCACACATTACACTGCCACCGCGCGAGTACGATTTTTTTTTGTCGTTGCACATAATATAATAATATAGGTAATAATAATAATTGCATAAAAAAAAAATTGTGAATTTTTCTCAGAAGTCGTATACGTACTATTAACTGCAGCAGCAAACGGGGGAGGTAAAAAAATCCGATCTCATTATATATTATATTATACTCGTTTCAAATACGGAACCATTAAAATAAACATTATACTGCGGTACGCCGTATGTATCGATCTCCCCGACTGAATAATAATAATAACAACAATGATAACTCGCATACACACACACACACACACACGTTCACACACAAGTACGGCAAGTATATATTGTTAACACACACAAGATCACGAGTACCGGACGCGGACGGGTCTCATGTATCCATACGGCGAGGAGAAAAAGTAAATATAAATCAATATCGCCAAAAAAAAAAACTTTCTCGGCCGAGATCGACGAGGTTGCCGCCGCGCTCGGTGTGCAACAGTTTCCGACGGGTGCCCTTCCGTCACGTATACGGAATGTAGTCGTATAATATTATTATTATTATATATATATATATAGGTGTAGGTATTACTGCCGCCGCTGCAACCGATCGCACGTCGTTTAAGTATAATAATAATAATAATATAATACCTATACGTCGACCGATTTGGGCTTGGTATAAACGGGACCGGATCTGTGCAACCCGCACTAATAACAATAATTATTATCGTCGATGATACGCATACGACGACGACGACGACGACGACGCACATACAAAACAGTGTGCGGATTTTTTTTTCGACTACACATATTTTATGCGCGAGGTGACTTTGTCGAGTATATAATATATATCTAGGTTACGCGGACGTATCGAGTGCGTATTCCTTAACGAGAGAGTATGTGTATAGAAATAGGTACCTATATATAATATATATACATAGCGGTGTGCGTTTATCGAAAACCTCTCCCATATCTGGTTACGAGACCCGTAATTATAACCGGCCGAAAAATCGAAATAAATAAATAAAAAAACCGCTCATTTCGATGTCTAAAGCTGGTATTATAACGTATAATACTATTATATACCGCGTGACGATTAATCAAATTCGAACGATCGTCGGCGATACTGTCTCTTGTCTCTATCCCTCTTTCTCCATCTGTAAGATCGTCGATCATAACGCGCATTTTACGGCCGCATAAACGCGATAAATTATTATTATTATTATTATTTTGTTTTCTTCGTCGTGTTCTATATCATACTACTACCGAGCACTGCAGTTTGTGACGTAAACGACAGTAGTATAAAAGAGAAAACCTCGCGATTATGGTACGATATTAACTGTCCGATTTTAATTATTATTATTAATAATATTATTACTATATCTATTGAACGATAAAAAAACAGTTTAGTTAACCGTAGATATATCATATAGTTATATATAATGTATACGAGTGTCGCTGCCACGATGTTTTTACTCTCGCGAACTCGTAAGGTGACATAATGACGGATGCTGCAGCCGCGCGTAATATCGTAATAAACACTCGTCTAGATCGAAAATAACTCTTGAAACTCGTATGCATCGATAGTATGCGATCTAGTGGGTCGGGTAGTAATTTATATGTCATAGTATACGCACATATTTTCAATGAATTGTTCACTCTATAGTCGTGCCTATAGGCCGACGACGACGATGTGACCACACACGACACACACACACACACACACACACAACACGTCATAAAATTGCGACGTCTACGTTGATATAAATACTAGAAACTATTTATTTTTTCTATAATACAAGTAACGGATATGTAAACTTAATCATCTAGAGTGTTAATAATTTGATATTATCGGGACTCATTCAGAAATCCCAAAAACTCCTGGTCCAAACGGACCCACCGGAGTATCCGGATTTTAGAATATACGGTTTTTCATTTATAACATACCTATAGGTATAGTGTGTTTATGTAATATATATAGATACTACCTACGGGCGACGAGTATATTATTAAATAATATTATAACGTATTTACTATTTTCACATGATATAATAACAAACATTTTTTATTGAAATTAAAATTTCAATTTTTTTTGAGGATATCAGTTATTGAAGAAATGTTTTTTTGATATAACTATGATATTGATACTATGCAGATACTGATATATTTAATGTGCTATGCATAATATCCCAACCTTTAGAAAATCTAAATTTTATCTCAGCACTTAAAAGTTAGGTATAGGCTTATCGCTTATACCGTACACGATATATTGGCGTTCGAATTATATATTTCAATGTTTAGCTACAGATGACGAATATTATGATGGTAAATGTAAATCCGTATTTATTATAACATTTTGTAATAATAGTATATATTATCATGTACTGTGAGATCTCACAAATCTTTTACGATTTCACTAAACGACACAATATAATGTATTATTATATACAGTATATACGTATATATAATATATATAGTAACGTGATTTTTGTTATTGATTCATAGGGCAACATGCACCCTTCTTTCCCGTACGAGAGCGGTCGTTCCCGAGGTGGCGAGTACGGTTCCGGCGTCGGCGGAGTTCGAGGGCGAGGCGACGTGCTCGTCCAGTCGCACCCGGGCCTGGAGGACTCGTTGGTCCTGCACAACGCCCTGTCCAGCGTGGTGGAAGAAGCTCAGGTGAGTCATGGCGTTCCAATCTATTGATTATTATTTTTATATTTTCACCGTGATTTATAATCACCATATTTAAACCATGATAATTACAATATAACGAGTAGGTACCTGCAGATATTATTCTGATATTACGCGCGAGGGGCTGCAGCAGCACTACACCACGGGTGTCCGGAGACACGCCTTATATCGACCGGGAGAGGGTTGAACCGGTCGTCGTCGGTTGATTACCGGTTGCTTTTAACAAGTATATAAATAACCCATTATAACCAGCAAGCTCCGTCGGAGAAGGGTAAAAATATTTTGCTTGTTTTCGTTGTTGCGCGAATCCTTACGATCTACACCCATATTAATATATTATATACTATTATAAATTTATATATAACTACGATATAGGTTAGGTATAACGCGATTATTGTTTATACCTACGTGAGCTAAGAAAACTACCCATATACCTATGCGTACGATACGACATGCACAATGTACACATATTATATATATTATATATATATAGTTACGGTCGACAGTTGCGATACCTTGCGAAGTTATACAAATATCACTTCGATAACTAATTTCGAACTAATATTCTAGATAACTAACTAAAATTTCCCAAAGCTATAAAAAAAAAAAAATTAATAAGACTCAGTGTTATGAATTATTCTGTACCTATTTGCATGTCATTAGAACAATTCTTTGGTTATTGATATTTGACGTTTCGGCTGTTTATTAATTCAATTTTCTAAGTTTCATATTTCGAATATAGGTTTGCAGAAATAATATTTGAAGAGTATTTCTGGGACTCATCATTTTCTTAGCTTTTGGAATCACTATTATTTGATATGCTATTGACACCATTGATTTCGTCATCTATTAACAGTCCGCTGACTACAACAGACAACGCACAGCATCGATTGTTAGCATACGTTTAAAATGGAGTTTTTTGATCAATATAAGTTTACACCATAGGCGTGCGCAGAGTTTAAGTTCGGGGCGTGCCCGTGGAAAATTTGAATTATACATTATACACACATAGACAGAGTATAGTATAGATATTATAGAAAAAAATAGAGCAGAAACAAGTCAATATTAATTATTATTGGTTACTGGTTAGTATATAATATTTACAGATTCATATGTCTATTTTCTAAGGTGTTGAACTCATCGATGACAGAATCCAAGTTTATCCCACTTGTCAGCTCTTGTTCGGTGAATAGTAACAGTACCGTAGAATGGGGTAACTTTGATTTCGTGAGGTAACTTTGATAATATGATATTTTTATTCACCATAGTACCACGACAATTTAATATTTTTTTCATAAACTGGGGTAACTTTGATAACACATTACGAAATGCTGGTATCAAAGTTGCCACAATTTTAAAAAGATTGAATAAAAATATCTCAGAAGATAACATCAGAAATTTAAAAATGTAAATGTTAAACAATTGAGGATAATTAGCCATAACTAAGATTTAATTTTTGGAATTTTATCGTTAATACTACAGAAGTTATCCATAAAATAAAAAGTAAAATTGTAATAAAATGGTACAAATTTATCAAAGTTACCCCATATTTTACTGTAACGAATCTAATCGTTCCTGCTTCATCGTACTTCTAAGTTTTGATTTTACAATTGTCATTTTGGAAAAGACTCGTTCGCATGTACAACTTGTGACTGGGATAATAGTAAATAATTGTAAGGTTTTATAAAAACAACTGTAGGTAGAAATACTATTGTTAGTTTTCAGCCAATCAAGCCACAAATAAATGGACTCACTAGATGTACCATAAACAACAATCATTTCAGGTTTTATTTCTATGTGTAGCAGACTAGCAATAGCTTCAATTTAGCTCAAAGTTTCTTGATTGAATCTTGAATCCATTGCCGATAATAAATCATCAAGTAGTTCATAATAAACTGATATCTTCATTTCATCTAATTTATTTTTTAAAAAAAATTGAGATTTAGATTTGTTATCAATTTGAGTCGATACTTTTTACGAATAACGTCTGGATTCCATGTTTTTTACATAAAGCAACTGCTTGTTCAAAAATATTTTCAAATTCTTTATTTTCATTTCTCATACTTTTAAAATTTAATGTTAAAGACCGTACATTATCAATTGCCAACAAAAGATTTAGTTTTGGTGATTGAAGTACTGAGCTAACTTTTAAAATAAGATTTAATATTGGATGCATCATAAACATGCCAAAAATGAACTCAAATCTTTTTTATGTATTGTTGTCATGGATGAGGATGACTTGGTGATACCCCAGTTCTCCTGTACTGATAAGCATGTTTGAGACATAGGGCGCTTCGGCCCTTGAAAAATCTCGGGGCGTGCCTGGGCACGCCCGGCACGCCCTGTGCGCACGCCTATGGTTTACACACAATAAGTCAGCCACAATATGTCAATCATGTTTACCCTCTTAGTTTTTACTTTTTTTAAGCATATAATATATTCTTATCACACTGAAATATCCAGATATAATATATGATCGACTGAACTATTTATCACAGTTGTATCTTCGAGTTATCGAGACTAATAATAGGTCGAAACATCTAGTGTTAGAAGAATTTCATTGGAATTTAAAAAAAAACAAATTTAGTATTAAAGTCAAGATTTTATCGCAACTCGACTCTATCTATATAATGATGTTGGATAGTAGGCACCTACTTATAACGTGTGCGCCGTGTGTAAGACGATACCGTTCCCGACGAATGATTGATGAGATTATTCGGAAAGCGAACGTTGATCTGATGATGATCCGACGATTTTTAATTACACAAACAAAAGCACCGCCGACAATCATTGAAGCAGTACCGCGTGACCATACGAGCGAGCAGGCATTTTCCATGCGAATGATACGACCTCCGGTGTTGACTGACCACTGTACAAACTTGTTGACGCCGAAATATTATTATTTTTAATTGGGCGATCACTGATCAGGGTATAGGTAGTAATAAAATATGTAAAGAAACTCTTATGGTATTTCAATAACAAACCCACGCGTTACAAATCAATCTCTCGTTTATACCTTATACAATGTTATTTTTAACCCCTAAACCCTCTATCCCAGAATATGTAAGCCTTCTATATCGCTTGAATAATTCCGTTCAACGAATAACTACGCTGTTGTAGAGCTATATTACTTGTCTTATATTCTTATACAGCGTATGATGGCTTCGCAACGAGACAAATTGTCTGCGCGCCAATAACGAATACGCCGATAGTTGTTTGTATAATTATTTTAATTGGATGCGCATTCTATAGTATTATACGATAGGGAAGACGGTGCTTATAAGTTTAACAGTATTTATTTCAGAGAAAAAACTTTTTATTTAATTAATATTTTATGAAATACTATTTTAGATATTTATATTAATTATAATATGGAGAGCCAAAATTATAGTCCTACGTAATTTTCCGTTACATAATAACAAATTAAAACATTTGTTTTCTTTATCATTGAAAGTCTGAGACGGCCACAATGTCTATTTAGATTTACTTAAAAATTTTGAAAGCCGAATAATTATACACATGTAGTCATGTCCACCAAATGTTCAAATAGTCAGGTTACCTATCTATATATTACGTTTAAAGTTTGAGTCTAAGATATTACTAGCAAATACACCTGGCACTCTATTTACACCGGAATACTGTAGGTATAATGACTGCAAATAGTAGCTATACGCAGTCGATAATAATTAATGCCGTCGCCCGATCACAAGTGGAAAAGTAGTAGTAGCTATACGCGGCTGTTGTTGTAGGTCTCTTCGGCATTTAAATGAACACGTATATGTATACGATATCAATTATTGTTATTGGCACATAGGCCGGCCACGGTACACGTATACTTTCTGATAGGTTTTACCGATCCGGACACTCCTCCTGTAGGAGAACCGCTGCCGTTATAAGCGCATTATTTTAATATACCTACTGTCCCGTGTATATTTTATATATACATATACCTATATTCTTGTACACATACGGAATATAATATATATTATGATATGATATACAGTAGACATGACGAGTGTGGTGGTAGCATATAATACTATATTATACCAACCCATGTGTGTGTGTGTGTATATGTGATGCAGCGTGTGTCGGCGGACTACGGCTCCCGAGATACGGCCGTATTAATTTTTTTTTAATCGGGTGCGCCCATAACTCGTTACGTCCCCGAAATAATATTTAAAAAAAATATATATAGGTAATATATTATTATTATGTATATATCGTAAGCGCGCATACACATGATAAAATATAATAAATCCGAAACGCGCGTTTTTGTTTTTTTAAGTGGCCTTTCGCGTTCGATTTATCTCTGGCCGAGGTTAATAGTAATTATTATTATCGAAAATATAATAATATTATACGTAGGTACCTCGTGTAATAAAAATATTACATTATACGTGTACGGCCACGTTACTACTATATACGCGTTCGGACGAAGATGATTCCCTATACTTGATATTATATACACGATAATATTATTATTATCATGTGCGCAGTGGTGGCAAAGACGACGACGTATAATAATCGTAATAATCTCGTGCCCGCGCTTTTTAAAATAATAATGATACCAGTGCAATCGTCGTTATAATAATAACAATATTATTATCATTATTATTTTATATACAACCGCAATCAAGCAGTAGCCCGTTCTCCGTAATATCACGATATTGCTGGTACGCGTAATATGGGTACCTGGTATATACATATATATATAGGTAATACGTAACCGTGTAATTATATTATACTCATAATATAATAATATATATATTATTGTAATAATACTACGTTTGCCGTATTACGACTGATTATTTATTTTTTCGTTCTTTTTTTTTTCCCCCAACAGGAACACAACGTGGACGATAGCAGTTCGTTTATGAACGACTTGCCGCTACTAAAACGTAAGTACCTTCGTACATTTAATATACCTAATATTATAATATATTACTTATATGTTTGCTTGGAAAAAAATAATTGTATGTAAACGCTTGACGTCGTGATATTACTATATATTTTAAACATATATATGTTCGAATGGCACACGCGCGAATAATTGGCCTTATATACCGGTTACCGGTTCGAGGCGCGTGTGTGTCCAAAACTCCGAGGAGTTATATTATATATTATGTAGGGGCGTGCGCCCGACGACGGTCCTCTCGGACTGCATTCACGTATTTTCTTTGTGATATTTAATTATGTTTTCGATTTCAATTATCTATCGTCGTAGTGTAAATCGTAAACGTAATGATTAATTTCTCGACGGAACGCGAATTACGCGCGCGCACCCACCGTATACGCGGTACGCTGCAGTAGTTTTGAGTTTTCGTGGAAACGCGTACCGTCCCCTATGTTTAGGTACCGACGACGATAGCGACCGGTCTCGCTGATTGGCCGGCCGGCGGGGCCAATAAAACGGAAAAGTTCGACGTCCCGCTGACGACGATATGTCGAGGGTCCTTTCGCCCCCGGGGCTCTGGTTCCCAGGTGCTTTATCCCGGCCCGCAATCGTCACCCCCTCCCCCGATTTTCAAGCCTAATAAACCCATTCAAATAATTATTTCATTAAGCATCAGTGAGTGTGTCGCGTGTAATCGTATTTTTATAATATATATATACATTTATTTAATTTTATCACGCGTGATTTTCCTGTTCCGGTCCGACGGTTAGGTACTTTTGTATATTTCATTTTATGCGACGAATCCCGCAACGATATCCACGCACACAGACCTTGCGTGATCTGTAACGACACGACTTTCGTAGCTCACCCTCCACACTGCATGTCCTATGTTTATATAATATGAGTGTATAATTCAATACGCCAGCGCAGCATCGTATATGAACGTCGGTTAAAAAAATAATAATTTCTGTAAAATACAAAAATAATACGATGGAAATTTGTTCTCTAAATGGAAAAAGGGGTTGCGCGCCGAACGTGATTTCGTGCTCGTTATTACGTTTATGAGTCGATTTTTTTTTACCCCTCTAATGAGAAGAGACCGCCGCCGTCTGGTTATCACGGCGATGACTATACGGGTGATGGAGGGAGGGGCGCAAATCTCTCCCCGTGTCGATCATTCACTCGCTACAATCTACACACATATATACACATAATAATATATGTATACTTTCTGACGCACCGGCGCCGCAAAATTCCGAATAATCACGTTTGGCGAAAATTCGAAATATTATGAAATATTATTTAATATGGTATAAACTGCCGCAGCAGTAATGACGTGATGGAAAATATAATATGCAAAACAGATTTTGGAGACTGTCGTCATTATATTATTATTATTATTATACGTTTACGTGTTGTATTGTATTATTGTCGTTTTATTCAATACCGCGTGTAGGTATACGCACATCGTGATTATTTAATATATTATCCTTCTATATGATTATTGCATATACCGCCATGCCCATGCGATTTTTAATAATAATAATTATTAATATAATGTAACGATCACTGTATAATATGCATATAACGACCTATATGCGTGTAATTTTCGAATATGAATAATATTGTAAATAACGAAAACAGTGTTTCAGAATGTTTTTTTCTTTCGGTTTCCGCTTCCCACCGTGCGTTTCACACCTCTATTGTACTGCAGTAGCTACATATTATGCGACATTTGACGAGGTGGTAAGTAGGTACGCACGGCGCTCATGTTAGGTATATAATATTAAACAGCTCATACACGTACACGGCAGTGTTATTTTTTTGTTATTTTTTTACGATTTCTGGGGGCGTCCACCGGGAACGGCCCAGAAAAACACGGCACCCCCTCGACAAACTGCTCGTATAGACGGCTAATTTGGGGTGTGCCGCGTATGACTTGACGGGGGGGCGTGCGAGGACATCTGTTGTGTTCGTGTTAGCGAATTTTTTTATTTCAAGTCCCATTGTCGATGTTGTGAAAAAGCACACACACGCTGCACAATAATTCCGCACCCTCCCGCCCGAACCTGAGACGTTATAATATTATTATTGTATCCGAAGGCGGGTTTTCGTTCGAGTGGACGTATACCCATATTATATTGTGTTGTGTATATGTATCGCATGTGTTCGATATATTTTCCAGTGTATTACCGTTACCTCCGGCTAAAAATGTTGACCAAATGTTCGTCAAACACTATAATGTCTATATTATAATGTATACATTAAATTATGAGTTTAGGTACTCTCCTACAATTAAAAATGTTTTGACAATAGTATGAACATATTTGCGTACTCACCTCTAATACACTTAATTTTCTTCGAGCCAATAACACATTGTAATAATATTATACTTTTGAAGTTGAAACTATTTATTATATAATAACATTCAAGGGACCAAATTAATTGAAAAATATTATATAATATACATAGCTACATACATAATGGAATTACATGTCCTTCCAAGGTATTTAAATTAAGTTAAGTATAAATTTACAGCAATGATTTAATGCAATAAAGTAAAATAATTCTTATATGTTTAAAATAAAGTATGACTGTTTTTGGTACATAGTACCTAATTTTTACATTGTTCAACCGTTTGAACTTAAAATTCTGAAAAATTTTATTTAACTATTAATTTTGTTTTGTTACCTACATTAGTTAAATAGATGATGAACATATTTAGTTCAAGTATGTTCAAGGCCCTATACAATAAATGCTTTGTTTAAATGTGAATGTTATTTAATCTTCGTATTACTCTTAGTATATATTATACACCAATTCATTGAGTAAAGATAGGGTTCAGTTTCGTCATAGTCAAATATCAATATATCATCCTGAATACATCCGTAAAATTATATGAATGATACATAGTCATAAAAAATAGTGTTATAGTATTATGAGTATACACTGATAAACTGTCATTATAATGAAGTACTATAACAACCGATAAAAATGAAACTATATAGAAACATTTATTGTTTTGTGGAATCGAAAAGCTCAATAATTAAGCTTAAATTGTGATATTATACATGTATGTCATAATAATTTGTATGTATATTATATTATATTACATTTCGTTATTCGTCTACTTCTACTTCTAAGATATCTTAAAGACCACCAAGTCCATCATCGCAGCAACAACGTACCAGTCATTGACACTTACTCTGGGTTTCTCTAACCCCAGTAATCCTGAGGGCTTCCTTGATTCTATCAGCCCATCTTTGTCTGGTTCATCCTCTATAACAATTTCATTATTATTCCCATAAATAAAGTCAGTCTCCTTGTGAAAAAAAATGGTTCTATTATTTATATCGTTGTCGATATTTTTATTCAAAACTGACGGAAATTGTCAATAATAATATTTTCTTAATAACTATTGTCATTTTGTATTCTACAGGTATGTCCACTACCCCTTCGGACGTGTTTTGCAGCGTACCCGGACGTCTGTCGTTGCTCAGCTCTACGTCAAAGTACAAAGTAACCGTCGGCGAAGTCCAACGCAGGTTGTCGCCTCCGGAATGTCTGAACGCCTCTCTATTGGGTGGCGTGCTCAGAAGGTAAATATTATATTATTTTCTATTTAAAAAAAAAATCTTTAAGGTTTTTTATGGTATTATTATTTTAACAATTCCGACGTACACGCGCCCGTGAATAAAACGTGACCGGACAATCTGAGCGAACTACTGCATATGTGTATGTGTGCAAGTTTAGACAAAAAGTGAAACCGACCACAATTGTCTCACAAATTGTCTCACAAATTGGCTACACAATTGGTATGTAGCCAAAACATGGTAGATCTCCGCGGTAAAAAGTTACTTCTGTAGAAACGCGACCGTGTCCGTAGTTATGTCGGACAGCTAATTTTATTTAACCGTTAAAAATGATAGTGAGAAATAATCAATTACAGTAATATAATCGTGGTGAAAAATAAAAATAAGTACGATGAAAATTAAAATGTATTAAACTTTATGAGCGCAGTGACCCCTCGTTGGACGAAGGGATACTATTCGTCGAGTGTACAAGACGTATCTATATATTATTATATAATATAAATTATAATATATTATTATGCATCGCGTATAATATGTGTGTATAATAGTTCATGAGCGTGTACCTATAGGACATTATTTTAACAAGTGCAAATCGCTAATACTTGGTTTGGCCACGACTCGCTAGTAGATTGTTTCTCCCATATTTAATGTCCGTTTTATTTTTATTATTATATTAATATAATATAAACAAGGTATAGGAGGTACCTACCTATTTTTTCTTTATTTTTATTATTATTAAACGCAATAAATTCTGAAGGATCATCGTTTAATTTACTGTCGGCTTTAAAAAAAAGAAAAAATTCCAAACGATCAGCCAGTGATGGTAGAAACGAGGAGCTTTCTATATACATAATAATATTATATAGGTACACTCCGTATACGCGGGCGTGAGCTGCAGCACATCGCGCGACGGTCAGTGAACACCTGTTGTGTGTGTCCGTATAGTATGTATAGTTTAAGCACTTAAAAACACGCTCGATCGGGTACACCCTAAAAAAGTCACTTAACGCGTTTTTATGTCCAGTAAAATATATACGCGTTTCATCAATCGTAAAGTCCTTTATTTCAGCGTTTTTATGACGCTCGTCGTCGTCGAGGGTTTTAATCATTTTACGCCTATACGCGACACGACACGACACGACACTTATTATATTATATATTATAATATACGCGGATAACATATTATACCTAATAATAATACTATTCTATGTATAGGTAGATACAATAATTTTGTAGTCTGCGTGTATATAGAATACATGCTATCTTTGTCTTTTAATTGCCCCGATCCTTGTTGACTTGTCGTAATAAAAACGATAGTTATATAATAATTGTAGGTACTTATATTGGAAGCTTCAGTGGGGGCATTAGTCGAGTGCACTCTTATAATATGCGTTAAGTGACATCCAATAATATGATCCAACTCATATACAATATCTTTCGTACGGCATATATCTAAATTTGTGTATATAGGTGGACTTGGGATTTTTACCGGGACTTTCATCATAAAACATAAGATTATCATAACAATATTTTATAAAACCATAATATCGAATTTTGAATTACTTGCTTATTTTTTATAAGTCTTAGAGACGGTAAATAAATACAGTGCTAGAAGTTTGAGTAAAGCTTATATAATATGCTTCAAATAAATCGTTAGCCTATGAAAGCTGAAATTGATATCGCTATTTCACGGGTTTGGGGGTAGGTGAATTTCTTTGATAGCCAATCTTAAGTCTACAACAGTCAGGACAATAAGTCAGGCTATACAGGACAATCAGCTGAATTCGTGTAATAGTGTTTTTGACGACTTTATCACGGTCTCGAATACCGGGAGTGTAGTCGGCGCACAGATACCTAAATTCATCGATAACGACGACGATTGTATGGGAAACGGCGAAACGCTATTTATTTTATGGTATAAATCGTTATAATATAATAGTATAGTTGGTTAACAAAAATGCGATTTGCCTTAACAGCGGACTACAAATACAAGTGTTTTTGGTGTATCATATAACATATTCACCGTATATAATAGGTTATATATAACAAGTTTTTATTTTATTTTTATCAACCCAATACGGTGCCGCCGCCCAGCGCAGTCATAAATATTCAGCTACCTATCTAGGTACAAGCCACAAGGCACATGAATGAAACTCGCGGAATCGGAATTTCGACTGGTTTCGTTGATCGTTTTGAATGAATCACGCATTCACGCAGGTCTCCACACTTTTTTCAAAAACAACGACATTGTATTTTAAGTTAATACTGCATATAGTTATTGTAAATTGTTGCTGCTACAGCGTGCATTCTCTTGGTTTTAAATTAGGTGCCTACTTATATACTATTTTAGGAATCGGTCTAACGGAATACGAGTGATCTGTATTCTATTGATCACAATACGCCACAATGTGATCATACCACAGTATTTTTTTTTTTTTTTTTATTTGAAATCAAAATAAATGGTTACAAATTAACAAGTTTAACAAATACAGTTTTGATTACCTACCTCCTGTAAGCTAAAAGCTTACGTTGGAGGTAGGGAGTTATGACATTTGCAGATAAAATAATACAATATTAGGTAATTTCTAATAATATTAAGTAGATACATTAATTATTTATTAGCATAGTGCTATTAAAAGGAAGATTAAAACCAGTTTACTTAAAAAAATATAATAATAAAAAAAAATTAAGTTTTAACCAAGGTTGAAATATACAGGTTATTGCATATCGACTCTAATTGCTATCATCAGAAACAAAATGGCTACGTAAAGAGATATCACCAATATCAATTTTTCTTATCATCAAAAATACACTGACAAAATCTAACAAATTCAAAATCCCGAGCATTCATAGGTAGGTACTTCATTATTTTTGGCTCCCTTTACGCAGCCATTTTTGTTTTTATCATCAAATATTTGATTGAGAAGGGGTATATATGCAATAACCATGTATATTTCAACCATGGTTTTAACATAAATAAATAAATAATAGATTAATATGATACAACATTTAAGCAATCAAATACAATGTTATATTATAATAGTTCACGTCGTTCGTGGTACAATATAAGAATCGCGGAGGGTGACGTCTGCCAGTTGTATACACGAATTCCTCAATTCTCGTATAATATAAATCCATAATATATTATAAAAACAACACATTTTTCAGAGCAAAATCCAAAAACGGTGGACGGCTATTGCGCGAAAAACTCGAAAAAATCGGCCTAAACCTGCCGGCCGGACGAAGAAAGGCCGCAAACGTAACGCTGCTCACATCGCTCGTCGAAGGTATGTAACTCCATTTATATATTATATATTATAATATATTATTTACATTAAACATTATTTTTCTATACACGATTAACACATCATGCAATACCTACATGAGATCTATGTGCCCAAGAAGTTTAATATTTTCCGTCTGCATCCGTGCGTAAACAATATACTCATGAGTCATGATAAATCTTATCACGTCTATAAATTTAATACTATAATTAGGTATAAAACTTTGGTTTTAACTCGAAGTGGTGACGGAAAACCACAGTCGAAAGTTGGAACCGTCCATTATAATATATCATAATTATTATACCCATATAATATAATATCGTATAATATTATTTTAAAATGTTTCAAAAACTTATATAATATTTGTTCTCGATGTCTATCGTTAGTGCGGCGTTATAATATTGAACTTTTCCGATGACCCACATCGATATAACCGTCACGCAAACCTTCGAAAGGATTGCGGCGGCAACGACTTTATATTATATTATACGTTTGTCGTGTTGAGGACGTCTTCCCGCGTGCGATAAATCTCTCGGTACCGTATATTGTGTGTGTGACGTCATGCGGCCGCTGTCACTCTGAAATGTCGGCCTAGGGGCTAGGACGGAAATGTATATATAATTACGATTTACGTATAGGTATTGGTAGTGTAGATATAAACATTATAAACCATACAGGTATTTGCTGCAAAGTGACCATTGATGTGAGGGCGAATTCCGAGATTTTTTTCGCAGCTATCGTTAAAATATGTGTGTCGTGTGTGTTTTATATCTGAGTTGTATCTATTCTAATGTAGATGTATGTTCGATTTGATAGTTTGATTTAATTTTGTATTTAAACTGTTGAAAATAAAAAGAAGGTATTGCCACTTAGAGGAAGCGTTACAAAAACAGTTAAGGGAATTGATTTTTTTTTTTTGTATTGCATTTGGTTCGAAAGCGAGCCACTCTGTCAATATATAACCTGTAGCTGCATACCCACATGACCACAATATGTGAAGTCTAATATTTTTACAATACCCCCGAAAATAATTCATATACATGAATGATTAGTGCCTTATAGTGATTTTCCTCGTTTATCTTAACTTTAAAAGTATCTATAACTAAAGGTACCTACTATTTTAATACCTACTTAATAAAATAAGTCATTAAACTTTTCCATCTACTCAACTGAGATTTTAAAGAAACACGAACACAAATATGTATTTTAAATCGTATACTATAGTATACCGCCGCCGTAACTTTAGTTATACCGTGCTGACTATATTATTATAACTATGACTCTCTAGTTTATACACTCTTTGGGATTGACAGTTGTACTATTAATATTATAAAAATATTATATAATAATAATAAATGTTTCAATAATTGGGGATAACCACCGCAACTATTATACACCCCGTATATACCGATTTTTGACTGTATAATGGCAATATCCGGATATTTCAAGTATTCCAACCGTCGGCGCATATACCTAAAAAGATTATACGCGAATATACCGACCGCAAGACGTGTGCGCAAAACTAAAAAACGGGCCAAAAACGTGCCTCATTTGTGCACGCGAAATTAACGTTTGCGGTCGTCGTCGGCGGTGGCGGTGTCGATCTGTGCACAATATTATAGAAATATATAATGTGTTGTGAAGACCAGCCGCGGACAACGTTATTCATTTCAATCGTGTGTCACGCCCACTGCCTGAATATTTCCCGCATCCGGAATTTCGCAGTCCGGAAACACAGTTATTTACTGCAGTGTACTATACGACCGCGAGTTCGATAATCAAAAAGAAAAACCTACTACTATAGAGAAAAATATAACATTATAAAATCCTCATCATTGGAACGCGATGCAAAGTGTTATGCCCGACCCTAATGTTCGCGAATACCTATAATATGTAATATGCGTATTACAGACATACCTATATTATACGTATTATTATAGTATATGTAGGTACATGCCGATTCTGCAGGTGGCCGAAATTCTTTCATTTTGTAGACGCGCACATTACACATATCTACGTTTAGTTAGATCTAAAAAATGTATAAGCTTTTTTGAGAAGCTATAAAGTCTTCTTGCAATTTCCTCGGCGTCGTACCGTGTTCGGTATACCTAATACGTCTCATATTTATAGCCTAAACTCTAAAGGAACGATGTAGGAATGGTGACTCTTGATTTATAAGGGTGTTCCTAAAGATTTTTTGCGTAGGATTGCGTGTTCCGCTTGAAAAACTGTTGTTTTGTTAATATTTTCTATCCCTATTATTACTTATATTGATATTTCTTCTCGACGTTTTTTAAACCGAAACGACGGTCACCATGGTTAAGAATTTTCTTCTCCGGACAACGAAAGTGATTGAAGTGTGACTCAAAAACAGCGAACTACTGGACCCGTGGCCGTACCTGCGAGATGACTTCGATTTTTATCGAAATACTATCGCACGCGCGCGCCGAACAATCGCGAGATGACAGACCGCGGCCGGTTATCACGCGCAGCATCGCGTCGACGATTGACTCGTTGCCGTCGACGCATTCTTCAGAGCTGCAGTGTGTGTGTGTGTGTGTGTGTGTGTGTGTGTGTGTGTGTGTGTACATATTATAATTTATAATATGTCGCGCTTTATATATACCACGTTATATTATTATCATACTTTACGTGTACGTACAAAATCACGGCGACGGCCCGGAACGCGGGCACATAGCTCTGTTCGGACAATCGGACACTATTTGCAGCTATCGGACTCACACTGTCGGCGGAGGTGTTACCTGACGGCGGAGGCTGGTCGCGAGATATTATAACGCTGTTTTGCATCGCGTTGCATATGTATATACTTGCAGTGCGAGAGTGTGTGCATAAGTATATTCAACGCGGTCCGACGACGACAACAGGTGCCCCAGTCGGCGTCGGCGAATAAGAAACGGTTTTGCGGCGGTTGATTTATGGCTCGGACGGTCGGCAACAATGGTCTCTTCTCGACTCGGCGCAACGGTCGAGGTGTAAAAGGATAAAATGTGAGTTAGCGAGCGCGCACGCGAATAGAAGAATAAAAAAAAAATAATAATAATAAAATAGAAAAAAGGCGGCACTGGTATGTAGATATACCTATATGTATATAGCTGGCATAGCGTGTAAGGAGAGAGAGTGAGAGAGAGAGAGAGACTTGGCGGTAGATGAAATAGATTCAACCGATCGCAATCACTGCCCAGTAATATACATGTATAGTAATATTATGCACACATATAGTATCAGCTCATCTATAGGTATATATATTATATTAAACACGACTTATCAAAAAAAAAGAAAAAAATGGTTCAAAAGAAGTGGAAGTTCGCTCATACACGTATTGTGTTCGTAAATCGCTCAAGTATATTATGTATAATTGTGTATTTATGTCCAACATCCTCTGAGGTGAAATTATCTCTCTGTAGTAGGTTATAGTAATATATAACTTTTAAAATAATTAATAAAACCATAATACGGTTCGTATTTTGACGTTCGCTTAAAAAATGCCAATTGACATAGATAAGAGTTTTTTTTCAAAATTTGATTTTTATATCGTCACGAATCACGATTGAGTATTACTCAGATCTCAAAAGATCTCTCAAGTACAACTAAATTGAGTATATGCCAGTAGGACGTAGGTGCTCCTTTCGGTATAAAAACTACACATTTGTATAAAGTACGACGTAAATTCACTACAGTTACACATAGATCTTGATTGCCTATGGGTGGTCACACATATTCGTGCATTGATGAACAGCTGGATCGAAAATCGGTCGCAGATAGTGTGCTTCTGCGGGAGCGGACTGGGTGATAATATTATAATGTTAGGATGGTCCTCCGATCGATTAAGCGTGAAATTCTAATCGGTCAAAACATAAAATCGTGGTAGTATAATAATTACTATAATCACGGTTCACGCCATTATACATACTCGTTTCGAGTGTATTTATACACATAATAATATTATAGATACTTATGTATGCACATTGCACACACACACGACGACACGCCTCGCGCACACATTGTGTTATTCCGGAGCGTACACAAATTATAATAATACATAATGCCTAAGTAGTAGCAGCGGTAGTTAATGAGAGTTATTTTGAGAGTACATTCGGAAGTAGACGTTTTGTCGCTGACGCGCGCCCGGCATATATATTGTATAATTATGTTGCTACTGCTGCGCAATAAATCGCACTCGGCCGCCGTGACGGCCACGTGGCGCTCTTGTGCCGGGAGATCCGAGATTCATATGTAATATGAACAAGATCATAATATAAAGATATGCATATAAAGAGAGAATTTAGGGTACAACGCGTTGTTAGAAAAAGATTGCATACAACTTGGTCCATCTAGCGAAAGAGACAGAGAAGTTTAACAAGAAAGATATCAATATTTTTAGAAAGATATCACAGTTCGTAAATATACACAAATATTGTGTATATCGATTAAAGAAAAAAAAGTCACCTACCAAACTTTTGCCGAATTCATGCCTTCGATAATATACATCGTTGACCGTTGTTTTCAAGGCGTACGGAAATGTTATGGCTGCGGCGTCGGATTTTCGATTCGCTATTTTTTTATATATTCGCGTTCGTTAAGCGCCGATATTGCTCATACGCCTAAACGTATAATAAACCATACAACGACGGATAATATTATATTTAATCGTATATTTGACGATGATCGATGGCCGCAGCCGTCGATCGGATTTCCCGTTACGACAATCATCGTCGTCTCGAACAACACAGGCGGCTCAGAGAATTATTAACCTACTTTTTGTCGCCACCGTCCCGACCTCACGGCGGCTGTTATTATATTATTTCGTTATAATATATTATACGTAATCACCCCGCGTACGCATATCATTATTATTGTTGTTGTTGTTGTTGTTGTATTAGACGTATATTATATTACTATATATACTGCTGCCGATAGTAAACCTATATACCATATAAATATAATATAGTACGTCGTCGTATGCCTCGGTGGGAGTATAGGCT